AGTTTTTAAAATGTTTAAGTGATAAAAAGCAAAAGCAGTGCAGCCAGTTAGTAACCCATATGGAAGCTTCTTCATGCAAAGGGCATTCGTTGTTTGGAATTTAAATGTTTTTGGAGAAACATACTTAGCGTGATGTGGCCCATCTCTGGTAGGATCTAACTAGTGCCTAAAGACTTCAGAGTGTTTCATTGTCCCAGCACCCATCATAACAGCCCTGGGTGCATAGTAGGTACTCAGAAAATACTTATTGAATTGATTTTGATAAATTTGGTTAAAATATTAATTTGTAGTTTTTAGCTTTTTTATTTTTCCCTATTCTGGATGTCTAGATGAAACATCAACTTTATAAGTTAAAAATAATTTTAAATAGGGGCAACTTAGTAAAATGGGACATGAGTTTGTAAACTAGAAAGTGGATGATTGCCATTTCTCTCTGAGTCCCAGAATTAGAAGGTGCTCTTAAGTTGACTGTCTTCTGGTATCTTTGGCATTAGCGAGAATGTGCAGTCCCCCTCCCTACCTACTCTCCCAGCCTTGGGGCATAGGAAGGAGTCTGGAGCTGCCTGGTGGGATCTGTTCATGTTATGAAGGACAAGTCAGAGCCAGAGGGGGAAGCAAAGGTGCTGGTGTGAGGACCAGATGCTGAGCCATGCGCTGGACTGTGGTGCCCGTGTGTGAGGGAGACATGGAGGTCGGAGCAGAGGGCAGTGGTGTCTACCATGGCCAAGGCTGCTTGGATTTGCACCGAGTCCCCAAGCCTTGTAGTCTTGTGACTCTGGTACATTTCTTACCCTCTCTGTGCCCCAGCTTCCTCTGTGAAATGAGTCAGTAGATCCTGTAGTACTTCTCAGGCTCATGGTCAGGGTGAGTGGCCAATTGCTCAAGGCTCCAAGAACAGAAGCCCTCCCTGTTTTCCATCTCCTTTCCCTCCTCTAGCATTGTCCTCCCCTCCCTCCCCTTCATCTGGGAGAGGATGCCAGTGTGGCTATACTGAACATGAGACCAGCTGTCAGCCTTGATGTTGAGTAGCCTGGGCCTGGGGGTGCAGCTCAGTGGGAGAGCACATGCCCAGCATGTGAGAAGCCCCAGGTTGGACCCTGCACAGCAAAAGAAAAGTAAACACAGGGGGCTGGGGATGTGGCAGAAGTGGTAGCGCGCTCACTTGGCATGCACGAGGCACTGGGTTCGATTCTTAGCACCACATAAAAATAAAGATTTTGTGTACACCTAAAACTAAAATATAAATATTAAAAAAAAAAAAACAGTCTAGCACAGTTGCTTGTTTGTTTTAAACACCACTCAGTGATGAGTAGATACTGCTTGCTCTTGGCACAGTAGCCTGAGCAGGGTGACCAGTGCTGGGTTAGATGGGCCCTGGGACTACAGTCCAGCTGCATCTCTGGCCTGCTCAGTCACAGCAGCTATAGCTGTAGGCAGGCCAGTATAAGGCCTTTGTCAGCTGCTCCAGCACATTGTGCCACATTTAGAAACAATTCGGGTAGCTGTATTGTGGTGTGCACAGTTAGTAATAGGACAGCTACAGCAGAATCCATGTGCTGAGCTGGTTTCCTACCCCAAATTTAAATTGTTACCAAATACTTGATTGCTGGGGTGGAAGAAAACTAACTCCTTCATTTTGTTTCCCAAAGTGAAGGCCTTGGAGTCTTTCAGCAACCTTCTAAACAAAGTCTGTTTGATTCATGTAAGATGTCTCGCGGAGGGCCGTTCACAGAGGACAGAGTGGAGGATGTGAAAGCCCTCGTCAAGATTGTGCCTGTGTTCGTGGCTCTGATCCCTTACTGGACAGTGTATTTCCAGGTGGGTGTGCATGCCGGCTGGACAGCCCCTTGCCCAGGCGCGCTGCCCTCACATGTTCTGTGTAATACTGAGGGGATTTTTTCCCCATGAATCTCTGAAGAGCTTTTGTTTTTAGTTATAGACTCATTTGGCTACTGTAAATATTTTGAAACCCTTTTCAGAAAAGAAGCTGAGAAGTAATGTGCTTCTGGTTTTCTGGGCCCTCCGTTAACTTAGTTTCAATTTGGATAACTGGCAGTTCTTTTCCAAAATCATCTCGAGGACTCCTACGGTGACAAATTGTTGACTTTTCTGCTTCTCACTTGAACCGCCATCTGTTCTGAGAGTTGCCACAAGGCCTCCCTCTTGGTTTAGAGAGGAGATGGCCACGGTC